GGGCGCGCTGGCGGGCGGCTCCCTGGGCGGGGGGACCGTCCCCGCGTCTCGGCCCCTCGCTCACGCGAGGCCGTGGCCCGTGCGAGGAGGGGCTGGGCACAGCAGCACCCGCTGGCCGATGCGCCAGGCTCGGCCCCGCGTTTAGGGGACGATGCTCTGCTCTCCGAGCCCCCCAAAAAGTGCCTTTGCTGCCTGCAGCCCCCTGCTTCCAGCATCCCCGGAGCCCTCACATCCCCCTGCTTCCAGCATCCCTGCTCCCCGGAGCCCTCGCATCCCCCCGCTCCCGGCATCCCCGCTCAGCGCCGTCACTGCGGACTCCCCTCCAAAGCCGCCAGCAGCAGATGAGGGTGCGGTGGCCTTATCCAGGCCATGGGGTTGCGTACGCTGAAGGGCACCCTGCTGCGCCGAAGAGCACCCTGAGGCCCCAGGGGACCGGCAGCGACGCTGGAGGGTCACCCCACCGATGCCGAAGCCTCGCAGACCTTCCTGGTGCTACCGGGATCGCTAACGTCCTCGCAAGCCAGCAATGGGACTGAAACTAAACCAGCATGGCCAGAAAGTCCCCAGCACCGCCCTCCCGTGCCTGGCAGATCCACGTCCTCCGCCTGCGCTGCCCAGCGCCCGCAGCCTACCTGAGCCCCGGCTCTGCCCGAAGACCCCGGCACACAGCTCCTCCGGCACCCGGCCACGCTCCGGAGCATCCTCCGCTCCCCTACGGAGCCATTTCTTCTCGCAGCCCCCCCGACGCCGAGTCGCTGGCAGCACCTCCAACAGGCAAAAGACCTAAAAAACCCTCTGCCAGGGGCTTGGCCCCCATCGTCTGCCCTCACCGCGCGTCCCACCGGCACCGGAGCCGGCCGCGGCGTGGCCCTGGCTCTGGTTTGGCTCTGTTATTGCCCCGCGCAGGGGTGGAGCGGCGGCCGGCTCCCTTTTTAATTGGGTCCTATTTTTAATGCCGGTCTGGGAGAGGTGCGGGGGAGGATGCAGCAAATCGAAATTAACGGGCGAAATGGGAAGCGGGTCCCCGGTGCCCAGCGCGGTCCCGCGTGTGACAGCAGCACGGGGTCACGCCTGGCGCCGGCTGCACGCCAGGACCCTCGCATCGGCTGGCCCCGAGCCGGGCCGCGGCGCGCACCCACCCAGCAAGACCCCGCCCGCGCGCGGAGAGGGGCCGGGGGGCTGCCGAGGCGC